GATTATATGGAAAAAACAATTCTAATTCTGAAACATTTTCTATTTGAGGTAACGGACTTTACGTTTCTTAGTACAAACGCCTTTGTCTAAATAATATTTTGTTATGGGTCCGACCATTATGGTTTCTTGGATGTGTCCATAGACCTTCATTCAACCCACAAACGACAAATAATGTAATGTTGCACTCAAATCTGTTTCAAATTAATAGGTTCCGAACGGTAAGATGAATGTTGCCCAACAACAATCCGTACGGAAATGTTTCAGTCATGTTTTATTACTGAAATTGATTAACATTACCCTTTCTCAGTACTAGCAGTCATTACTAGCAGTAGTGATTATGATGAAAAACTTCATGTTCCTAGATTCAAATGAAACGGCTAGTGTTCAATGGCATTTTGTTTGTATCTCTTCTTTGTTATAGAAGCAACGAGTGCCATACTATAGATAATTGTTCCTTAATATGATGCCGAAGACAGATATTTGTATTGTTAGGGGATTCCTATTAATGAGGCTGCATTGGATGCTAACAGTCACAGCAAATTTATAAGAACATTTATATGAAATCGAATCTTCTTCAAAGAACAACAAATGATTGAATATTTCAGGAAATCATAGGTTCTTTCGAAAACAAATACTATAAATGGGTACGTGTTTGAAGGAACGTATTTGACGAGGATATTATCAAAGAAATCTGCTCATTACCCATGACAGTTCTTCCGAAGCGACTGAAAACTTTAAACAAAGGAAAATATGTGCTCACCACTTGACTCGAATTAAATCAACAATGTCTAATGAAAGAAGTATCGAATAACACGGGAACCAAGTTGATTTCGATTTTAAATGCTTAATAACAAGACATCTCACTTCTTTGAATATTGTTTGCGGGAGGTAAACAATGTCATGATTGTCAATATTTACAACGGATAATCTGAAATGAAAATAATCCAAATCATTTATCATGTTGGAGCGAAATAATGAAGAGCATGTTTGAAAATGAACATCAAGTGTGTCCATATACCAGCTTTGGAAACTATTTTGTTGTATGTGATGTATGATGTAGTACTGTGTACACAGCAGTATGCCATACTTTGAAAGTGCTTTGAAACATGCATGTCATGCATTAACGCTAGCTGTCCTAAGGCCTTTCAAAATCTCCGTTTACGAATCTTTCTTTAAAACTTAACATCGATTTAATACATTTATGAATATGTATGATACATGTTAACAGCATGCTAGGCTCCCTGCAAACGGTTTTGAGATTATCAAAGCACATGTTAATCCAGACTTAAATTCAATCTAATATCGTCCCACGTATTTCTATAGAAATTAAGCTACATTTCCAAATTACAAATAGTTCTATAAAGACGCCATGATACCAAAAATGAAAACAATAGTCCAATTCAAACCTGGCCTGACAGATATATGGATATGTAAGAAAGATTGTGAAGAAATACTGAATTTACTAACTGGTTATAGAGGATTGGGCATACATGCGTAATTCATAACTCGATGCATACCTAGCATTTTTTATCGTTGGAACCAAAGTGTACACCACTTGAATGTTCTCGTTCCAGTTGCAGTGGCACCGATGTCGAAGTAATCTGGGGGGAAAGTAGTTTCTCAAGCTGCTATTCATTATGTGCATGTATATACAGGAAGGATATTAGTACTTAAAGTGTATGTTAATTGCCCACTGATCAGCAGCACGCACCTTAACTGCTGTCCCATTTGTAATGAAAGATATTGCAATCAAATGCTCTATCAGATGGGCTCCTTGAGTAGACTGCGGTTCCGGCCATCTGGGTAATTGGGAGTTACTAATTGAGCTTGAAAATGAAGCATAGTGCAATGAGTGCAGATTTAATGACACCTGCTCAGTAGGATAAATATATATTGGTTGATGATGGAGTCGGATACTGCCTATTCCAATCTTCAGATGAGACTCACATGGTTGGTTATGTAGTAATTACTGCTGAGGACTTCGATCAGAACTTTTGTATTCGACCTATTATTTCGTGCTCACCTTGAACCCGTTAAGTAGTTTTTCTCTCACAATAAGTATTCCATTTACCCATTTTTATACCATATATTTTCTAACCTTATGGAAAAGAATATGTGCATGCTTTGTATTTGGTTGTTGGGATTGGATTTCCAAGTACTTCTTTACAGTTTAACCTTTGTCGGTGCAGAAAGACTTCAAACAGACAAAATCTCTTTTAAGAAGGAACAGAACGAACCCAAGTACTATATGAATATGTACATGTAGAAATACGAAAGCAAATTAGTCAAATGCTCTCAAAGTAAGGAGTACAGTCAACGTACTGACTTGCCTATTCGTACTGACACAGATGAAGGGATCGACCAAATAATAATAGTCTGATGAGAGGGGAGACAGGCCTGTTTGTTTTGGTTGAGACAGTGTATATTTTCAGTCAGTTTTACAATTAGCCTTCTCTAAACAATTGCTTGGGGACCCAGCACACGTTATTGGTCAGAACATTCATCATGGTCAGTGAACGATTTACACATATCTTTGTAAATCATGAGGATATCTTACATTGTCAGTTTCATATCATTTATATATTGCCAAACGGTTTTCATGTTTTTTTTTAATTATTGTAATATATTTCGACACCCCCTATTTAGATCCATTCGAATGAAAGTGAACTGATTGTGTTTCGTGATTCATAGGTATGTTTCATTGATGCAATATTCCCAGTGAAATCAACCATATCAATTTGGTTTTCCGTTCTCATCTGCCTATGAAGTATTTTAAGTGCCCTTATTATTTGGTTGAAATCCATAGTAAATGGACACACCGCTTTGGTAAATCTTACGAATATTTTCCGAGTGTTTAAATTTCATATTTCAACACTGATAATACAGTGAGTGAGTGAGTGAGTTTGATTTGACGCCGCTTTTAGCCTTATTCCAGCAATATCACGGCGGGGGACACCAGAAATGGGCTTCACACATTGTACCCATGTCGGGAATCGAACCCGGGTCTTCGGCGTGACGAGCGAACGCTTTAACCACTAGGCTACCCGACCGCCCCCACTGATAATACAGACCTCCCTTTCAAATCAATAAAACGAACAGTAAGTGGACACTGCATTCGCATCAATTATTAGGTTGTGGTTAAATATTGCAATGATTATTACTCTTATAATCAATGAGAGTAAACACGTCTTGATGGTTTAGACATTAGGATGACCATTGGAGACACTCTCATCATATCCAATTCCTTGTCATGTCTCTATAAATTGAACTGGCAGGCTTATATTAGAACGCATATGTTGCAGTGTTTGCTTCCTGTCTGAGTACATATATATCATTGGGATTATCAAGGGCTTCTTTTCATTGAGTAACAACCTCTTGAGTTAATTAAATGCTATATAGAACGATATGGGGTTGTTTTGCCTTGGAGGCTTAAAGGCTTAGCGTGTTTCCGGGAGGGCACCATATGTTCAAAGCAGATTGTATGGTACATGGGCAGAAGCGGATGCTGACTGCTATTAATGATATGTTTTATACTTGTATATTTATCGCAGATGTGCAAATATGCTTTTCCTTTATACTTTATAATAGATGTTGTTTTGATTGTTGGTCTGTTGTTTAACGCAGCACTCAGCAATATGCCAGCTATGCCGGCGGCATGTACACAACAGAGGAATATTGCTAAAAGCGGCGTAAAACCTCACTCACTCGCTTTGGTTTTCAGTGATCCATTCATAAAATATTCAACACCATTTTGCATTTTACGCCTAATGGCGTTGACGTTTAATATTATATTGCCAACCATTAAATTACTACATTAAATGAAATATCATTCCACAATTGATGTCAACGCGTAAATTTAATATTTGATCCAAATTGAGACAGATGTGATTAGTGTCAAACAGCAAGCACAAATTTGTTGTTACGTCTTTTGAAGTGTATTAAAAGAGAACTTCAAGTCTGATAGATCATGTGAATCCTGACCAAGTGGTCATGGGTGAGATGTCCAAAACCAAACGCTTGTTATCAATATTAATAGAACAGGTGGACAGTGTTCACGTTCCCTCTGTTGACGGCTATGAGCACTGAGCCTTGTACAACCATCCACGGTCGAGACAATCAATACACCGCAGCCTTCTTGGCACAGTTTGATTGAAACACGGGAATGTGGAATTTCGAAAACAATTCTAGAATGAATTAATATGTGATGTATACCTATTGAGTTACAAGTTGACTAAATGAAGTATTAAATCAGTTCTATTACTATTTAAATTTATCCCCTTTACAAATACGTTACCTTTCTTGTGCAACGAAGAACTCTCATATTTACCTCTAAGTTTCGTAATCATAAATGCATATTAAAAATATTTGCTCACTCTGAAAAATATTAAAAGCCGCAAACTGTATGGACAAAATACATATAGATTTTGGATATATTTCATACTATTTTGTGATATGAAGTACCTAAACGTGTAAGCTGTATAAAAAAATGTACATGGTGTAGTCATTGACAGTGGACGGAGTGAGCAAATATCAGTAAGCCAATATTCCAACTATTTTCACGGCAGTCTGTAACCGTTTGGACCAGATAAACCAGTAATAGAAAGCAAGACAAACCTGTAGGCCGCTGTACGGGCTCAAGCAGCGTTGATTTGGGGCCTATTCCTGTCCGGCTCCCACAAGGGCACAGTGCGAGAAATGTATAACTAAATATAAGCGCCATGTATTCGTATAACCTACATTAAAGTTCCAAAAGCCTGCCTAAAGGTACATTTTTAAAAATCAAAATTGCATTTTTAGACATTTGGTGGAATATTATCTACATTTATGTCTGTCATCAACAACGTCAACAACACTACTTACTTGTTTGCTGTTTTTGTTTCTTTAAACGTACCACCTACCCACCCCCGCCAACCCTGTTTCAATAACTTGTAAGAACGAAATATCCCTGTAAAAAGGATTACCCGAGTCCTATTCGAACTGGGTCGAGTTACGAGTATCAACCCCCGAGGCCAGTTGATGAGCGTTGTCTACCTGTGGAGGGGAAACACAAGCGAATTGAAAACTAGTGTTCCCTCCTCACCCTAATGGTCACGGGTGCTTGGAGAAAAATGTCGGATTTATATCGGGCAAGAAAAAATATTCAGATCTGGAATAAAAACACTTTGGAAGACGAATTTGGACCGAATGTTCTCGGTACTGCTTGCTACCGTACTTGTGGGACTAGTGCATTCTGGAGGCCGTGCTTTGTCGAGGAAAATAGGTAGGAGGGAGTCATGGTATTCCTATTACATCGCTTATGGATTTGGTATCTATCTATGCCTTTGGGAAATGTACATCATGGCAATATTACATCTACACATATGAGAGAAACGTACAGATTGGTGATCAAATACATGTCGGTAACCGTAATAGTTCTACAAAATTGATTTGATCAACTTTGATCAATAATGTGCTTGCTGGTATACACAACCAACATATATATTTTATGTCTTAAAATTTTGTTATAACTGTCCTCCTACCCAAATGGTCAATAAGAAAAATACAATACACTTTTATAAAGTCTTGTTTCATATAGGGCTGAAGTGATATAATATATTTCCATATTCAATTTCTGGTTACTTAATTATTCATATTATGTTTATATTTTATTGTTTTATATGTGGGTGAATAAGTGGTGTTTTCGAATATTGTTCAGTTAACACAGCTTAACTTGATGCAGAACCGATAAACAAACTAAGAATCAGGGCGAATCTATTATTCCGACCCAGGATCTCGGCATCATGGCTCGCACAAGGTGTGGGCCTCTGTCGATAGGGTCACCCATCTATTCGATTTCTTTAAAATGAAATCTTTATTTTAGGTGTAATCCATTTAATTCCTTTTACAGTCGTCCTCGTCGACAGGGACTTGTATGCCGACTTCTTCTCACGCGATTTGTCATCGCTCTTGTCAGTTGCATACAATGTATCGTCATCAGAAATTCTGACTTATCGGATGAACAATACAAACACTCCTCTTCATATCTCTTCCTGTGAGTATCATCGTTTACTGGACCGAAATCGTGTCTTTGGTTTGTAGGCAAACTGTTAAGCTTATGAGTAAATATTGAACTAAATTGAACTACTATTGCTACAACTTACATAAAGAAGGATCTCAATCAACGTCGTTTGGCGGTAATAACTTACTTTGATAGTTGTAGTCAATGAGTAACAATATGACAAAGCCATCGACGTTTTCAATATGTTTATGAAACTAATTGATATGTCGTATACAAGTCTCTGCCTATAACATTAAAAACTGGGGTTAGCCCTGAAGATTATACAATGATTTTATGATGAACTCTTGCAGAATACAATGATAATGCTATTAAGATGATTCCTTCTATTCTTAAAATGCTTTTATACCTGCCAATCAAATTAATTACATGTAGTTATGTTACTTGCCAACAGACAGAATCTTGCTTTTGATAGTTATGACACATTGTATAATATTTTCAAACTCGAAATTACGATATTTCCGCAACAAAATACATTTGAACAATTACTAAACTAATCTACAATCTCATGTATGGTGTTTTGTTTGTTAATAAACCGCGTTCAGCACTAGTCCAGCTATATGAAGGCGGCCTGTACAGATTAAGGTTTGGACCAGATAAACCAGTATTAATGATAACATTATTAGCAACGTCCACCGCTGGCGATGAACGGAGTCAAACACGCCTGACAACCCGATCCATTTAGTCGTCTCTCACAAACAAAGGTTGTTGGGAACGTCTTGTTGTAACACCGAATTTCCACTAATATTACAAGTTTTATTTCGGAAACGAACCCTACCCTCAGTTAACCTCAAGTCCAAATTATTTTAACGCATTTTCAAAGGCTCCCGAATAGTAAAAGAAAAGAAGGCACCAGATCTGTGCTTGCGTGATGTTTATACAAAATGTTTGACGAAGAATTATTAAACAATTTATGAAGTATGGTACGGACTTAAACCCTACCTTCATTTGAAGTCCAACTTGGCGTAGAAATGCAAAGAAAATAGAAATTCTTGAATAGCAACAGGCAAAAGGTAAGAACAGGTTTGATGTGCATACACATGTTTCAATCAGACATATTGAACGGTTAATGGATTATGAAACGTGACGGACGGAGCCTGTTTATATATTTTGTAATTCGTATCTGAGCAATATGTTTATTGATATAACATTTTCTTTTCAGTATGTGGCAAATACAAGGAGGATATTGTTGTAATACTTGACACCACTGCCTCGTGCACGTTTGCCAACGTTGCCGCGACCTTATTCAGACATTACGTACGGGTATCCAACAGAAAGTGTAACGGCCAGAAGGTAATAAACATACGTCCTGATTTGACATTTTACAGCGAGGCTGCATTAAATTTCACTGACCTAGGAAAAACAACTGTAGCAAGGACTGTCTTCCTGTACGATGACATCTTCGGTGAGTAAAAGCCTACATTATGCTACATGTTTTGTCCCTTCAAATATGAATAAGTGAATATGTTTTTCACGCCGTTTTAAGCAATATGCCAGCAATATCGAGGCAGGGAACACAGAAATGGGCTTCACACATTGTACCAATGTGGGGAATCGAAACTTGCGAGACGAGAGAACTTTAACCACCAGGCTACCGCGACTTCCCTTTCGAAAAAGGTTTCGATGAACTGTGTGCGGTAAAACTTTCATATAAAACATCAGCCGATATTTGCCTGAAAACATTTTGAATAATTAATATAGCTACATGTTTTGTGTAAAAGAGGGTTTCAATGTAGGTCTATATTGCTAATATCTATATCGTTATTCAGAAGTAACATAAAACTCCACTTATATGTGAGCTCCTCCAGCCAAGCTGATAACAGTTTCAAAAACAATCATTAATAATATGATAATTTCGTGACTTGTTTTCGACATATTTAACAAATTTACACGCATGTTTCCATAAAGACATTTTACAGTGACAAAACAATATACAAATGTCAAGCTGATGGCTCAGAAAACTTGTCAACACAAAAAGGAATTGGAAAAATATGAAAATATATTAATGCCTTATGTTCAGTTGTTTTCCGCAAGGTGGGGACTAATCATTGCCCTTTCATCAAATGAATATATTCGCAGTTTGCATCATCATGACTTTATTAACCTTTCTACAAACTGCCAAATACCATTTACAACTCATTGGACCGCCTCCGTGGTCTAATGGTAGAGCATCCGCCCGGAGAGCGGAAGGTCCGGGGTTCGATTCCCGGCCGCGTCATACCAAAAGACGTTAAAAGATGGTACTTGTTGTTACCCTGCCTGGCGCTCGGCATTAAGGGGCCAAAACTAGGACTGGTCGGCTCGGAGTCAGTTTACTGTGTCTGAGTGGGGTATTCATGTTAAATTGCGGCATGGTATCTCAGTGAGCTAGCACTATAAATCGGCATCAGTCCGGACTAGTACAAGCAGCCACACAAACACACACACGTACATGCACGTCGCTACATAAGTGCAATAATCTTGGACGCGACGTTAAACCCCATTTCACCTCACCTCACCTTATAACTCATTGTTTCTTTCCACAAGACCACAAGCATGATAAATGAACATTGATACTATGTTCAGAGTAGAATTATCAGTTGTTGACAAAATCGATATGACGTGTTGTTGAGTGGGAGTTTCTTAGATAGTTGTAATTTGGACAAACAAACTGAAAATGAAATTCAGCAATAAAATTTTTAAAATTACTGTTATAGATATTTCTAAACGCGGTTGGTAATCTTGTGTTCAGGTAATGACAGCATCCCGGACCTTTTATATCATGAGCTACCCAATGCCCTCATCCGAAAGATGATGGTGATGACATCCGCCAGAAGCTTGAAGGCATGGGTAACACAGCTGGCATCCAAGAAAATATTGCGTTATATTGTTGCAGTGGGAACAAAGTCATCTCTACAAACCCTGTTCGAGATGGTAGGATTTGCTGAAGTTAATGTTTACTTGAATACATTAGAGATTTGTTATTTCTTCAGAAGGAAGTTGTATTTATTATTTTTGTTACTACTTTTGTTAACTTGTATAAATTAAACTGCAAACTATTCACGTGTAAACTGTCTTCAAAGATGTAACTTGTAACAACTGTTACAAGTATTATTCATCATTACTGTTGAGCTAAGACCTATGATGCAGCAAAGCGTATGATCGCGTGGCAGAAATGTACAACAACTATGATATGACGTCATGACGGCGCAACATGACGTTATTTCCGTTGTAAGGTAATCAATGAGTACCCATTTGTAGCTTGTGGTTCGTCCCAGTTTTCACATTATATGTATTAGCTCTGAAACTCTCTATAATACTAAGGTAAGTTATCCGTTATAATCGTCAATCGTTTAATTCATGTAAACGCATCGTCGTTATCCCTTGAGCTTATTGGGCAAACCAGTAGAGTCTAGATCATACTCTCCACATAGGTGACATATGCAAATAAAGTTCATAACTTTATGACATAGCTGAGTGTAATGTTTACAGGCTTGTAGAGATGGTGTCCCCGATACCTTCCACTGGGTAGTAGTTCTTACCGACGCATTACAGCTCAACATGCCTGCCTGTCCCTTCAAGCACCTGGTCATTTTTAGACACCGGCTCACGTGGGCCAACGTACCAGGCGTTGAGATCAATAGCAGCGTAAGTGTACATCGGCCGAATTACATAATTCACATTAACATGTATCATTATGCCAGTCTAAATATTTATGTTACTAAATAATACAAAAATATATGATCAAATCTTTGTTGTAATGAGTAGAATGTCTGCCTTAAAAGCGGAAGGTCGGTGGTTCGATATGCTAGCTGCGTCATACTAAACGACTTTAAAAGATGGTACTTGCTGTTGCTGTACCATGGTATTAAGGGATGAATTGAGGACTCTCTGGTTCGGAGTCAGCATTATGTGTCTGAGTTGGGTATCAATGTTAAAGACCGCCTCCGTGGTCAAGTGGTAGAGCGTCCGCTCCGAGCGGATGGTCCGGGGTTTTAACCCCGGCCGCGTCATACCAAAAGACGTTAAAAGATGGTACTTGTTGTTACCCTGTCTGGTGCTCGGCATTCAGGGGCTACAACAAGGACTGGTGGGCTCGGAGTCAGTATACTGTGTCTGAGTGGGGTATTCATGTTAAATTGCGGCATGGTATCTCAGTGAGCTAACACTATAAATCGGCATCAGTCCGAACTAGTACAAGCAGCCACACACACACGCACACGTAATGCTCGTCGGCATATAAGTGCAATAATCTTGGACGCGACGTTAAACCCCATTTCACCTCACCTCACCTCACCTCACCTCACCTCACCTCACCTATCAATGTTAAACAGCAGCACACTGTCACAGTCACAGCTACACTGCATGCCCGTCGCTATATATTTGAACGCAGCGTTGAACCCCATTTCACCTCACTTAATAACAAAATGCTATATTATGTTTGCTATGAATATGAGCAAAAAAAACAACAGTTGCTGCAGCTGTGTGATTGCAAACAGACGTTACCTCTCCGGATGCGGAAAATAGGAAATGGATTTTTTTGTATCAATACGTGGACAGGCATTGTTTATAATGAATATGTTGATTACAGGTAGATACTGGATTTCTCATTGATGGTTTGACGACAGCCATGCTTTTATCAAGCAACCAAGGTGACGATGACTGGATTAAGCCATGTAGTGAGATATCCTTTTCAAAAGAAGACAATATTTCTGGAGTGCAATCTGGCAAAGTAAGATAACAAGGCTTAATTTTCTCATCATGCATACATGTGTGGAAATAAACGCAACAAGCCCTTTCCACAATCACAAGAAGTCTCTGATAAAAACAGAGTTCAGTGTACGATTTCGACTATACAGTAAGCATGTGTTTATGAATTATCATATAATAGTGAAGATACCAGGTGTTTGCGAAATGGTGAGCGTATCCTGCCCCAAAGGTGGCACCCGTCAGCAACACATGCAAGTCAAGTTTTCATCGGAACAAACTCGGAAACATATGGTACACGTCAAAATAGGGACTTGTATCAGACATAACTTTTGTCATTGATGCGTCATATTAGGAAATGTATTTCTCTCAGCATGTCTACATAAAGCGTTTGAAAGCTTCCCCGAGGCCTTGAATGGTGTACATTCTGGTCAAACAACTTTTATGACGCTTTATTAAATCATACCTCAAACGTGTAAAATGTAGACATCCATAGTTAAGGCTGCTGGGATATTGCTCGACGTAAAGGGAAAGTAGACTGGAGAGTTGAATATACCCCTCTTGTCATATAGTCTTGTGGATGTTTCCTTGTAACTCTTTAGCCATATATATATATATATATATATATAATGCCTAAAGAGTTATATATATATATATATATATATATATATATATATATATATATATATATATATATATATATATACTCTGAATCTTATATATAATTTTATATAAAGTCTAAAGATTCAGAGTTACAAGGAAATATATATGAATGAAACAGATAAGGCGGTTTCACTGGTCTCTGGTGGGTTAACCAGTGGAAGGGAACTGGAAACGTAACCATCAAGCTTTAGTTAGATTTCATGGCAAATTTCATTGTGTCCATCTGATCAACAATCAACTCCAGCGAGTCTATCTGTTGTTTCACGATGCGATTCATTGTGTATTTACCACCCCAAGGCTTGCTAAATAAAATATTTATAAATATTACAAGATAAGAACTACCCCACACTACACTCGCGTTATAACCTCCATGTACATGTACATAGGTGTCAATAGCTGGTAACAAATCCATTGATACTTATACATTTCAGTACCCCGGCGTCATTGGTAATATATCATCAACTCCTTCGCGGACTGAGACTATGGTGCTAGAAATATTACAGCACAATTATTTAAAGACAAAACCAACAGAAGTAAGTACTAATGTGGCACATTATAGTAAATGAACGGATATGTTGTTGAGTTCGAATAACAATTATACTAGCAGGCCTTACCTTCTTGATGAAGAGAACCTCTGAATTAAGCACATTTTCTTGTGTATTACGAACGCCGTGGGTAATGATTATGATTACATATTGCGATAACGTCCTCCATTACTGAGATGTATGAATGATTGCATTTACACTACAACTGAGAACATCATGATTAAACATATCCTATTGTACTGTGAGTCCTAAGGTACAAACCAATACTATACTGTAGTGATGTCCTCCAGAAATGGACTTCCGGGAAGATCAGGGCCCCGTTCCACAAAGCGATCATAGGTCTAAGTTGATTGTAACTCACTAAGTATGCGATCTTAAATTTTTGTTACGATCAGCCGCCCGTTCCACGAAGCAATCTTAACTAAGAGAGTTGTAAGTTAAGATCAAAATGCTTAGTTGCTCCTGACAAACTTAGGATTGCTAAAATCGATCTTAAATATTGTACCATAACAACAAAGATGGCGACTTTTATTATGGTGTGCAAGGAAATGCGTCGTCTGCTAAACATGACCAAGGGAGGCCACTCCAAGGGAAAATTTCGTATCTTTATGGCTGAAGATTCCGATCTTTGTTAAGATCGGCTACTTAAGAACTTGTAAAGTTACAATCACCCTAAGATCGCTTTGTGGAACGGTTGTAAACTTTAGCTAAGACAATTTTAGAATCGACGTAAGTCTCTAAGATTGATTGTAGTTATGATCGCTTTGTGGAACGGGGCCCAGGTTGCAGGTAAAGAAAACCAGTGTCGGTAGGAAGTATGTCCAACGCCTGCATAACTTGAATTAAAATCACTTGCACTCTCTTCGTCTGGTTTCTGTTATAGATAGGGACATGGTCAAGACAAAGCAGTATACAGCTACATAATGCTTCAACTCAAGGTCACAAGAGGCCCAATGTAGTTGTTGTAACCAAACACGTAAGTATTAATACATGGTCTCTGCTTTCTTTGTATGAAACTTAATGTTCCTTTTACCAATCCATATCATAAGTACCATTAACGTCAACCCTCATTTACCATATAGATCGCTTATGTACGTCATCACAATCCTTTAATGTCAATCAATATAGACGCTAATTAGCAAAGAATGCACAAACAGAAAGAAGAACGTGTCGTAAGTTCTGCTAGTTTTACAAAATCAACAATGATGTAGTCTCTTCCTACTTATGTGCACTTTAACTAAATACTGCTGATGCAATATCTGTGTACACGTTCAATAAGTGCACGAAACGTATCAATACCATAAGCAAGACACATTTATTAAGTCAGTCATTTATGCCGGCTATTGTAAAATTAGGGACTTATTTACCCCTGTCAGTTAGAGACACCAGTACTCTAAAGCTCTTTTAAAGCCAGTCCGTTAATTTATGACTTATACAGACTTGAAACCGACTCTATGGCCTAGAGAGAGAGAGAGAGAGAGAGAGAGAGAGAGAGAGAGAGAGAGAGAGAGAGAGAGAGAGAGAGAGAGAGAGAGAGAGAGAGAGAGAGAGATACTTGATTTATTAGACAGTCCTAACCGTCTCTGTAGTCCTCCGTTTGAAAACGTTTATCACCAGTTTTATCACGCTGCTAGAAAAAGTATGCATAATGGCACTAACTGACATTTAAAAACAACAACCTAGTCCCTGATTTGTCGATATTGTCAAGTGGGAGCTCACATCTCAGCTTCACCGCAAATGTACAGTTGGTTCACGCTAATGGATTTATGTAAATGTAAAACCCTGTTTCCTGATCATTCTCTCTGTTTGTATGTACTCTGTATTTTGTTCATACCTCAGTTGTGTTATTATATAACGCTAATGGGGGCTACCTAACTTGTGTCAACTATTTCCCAATCCTTTTCCTTTTGGATAAAATACATATGAATCAAATCAAAGAATATTGGAATACACATGTATAGTTAATTTGAGATACTACAATTGACACCAGTATGGACCAAGGAATAAGCTAAATTGTATTTGACGGGTGTCTGCTGTGAACTGTTGTTAATCAGGCTTCACATTATAAGTAAACCTTTCGATACTGTGAAGCGGTGCAGCCGAGAATCATAGACTAAATGTCAAATACGCAAATATACGGCGTTATATATATATATATATATATAAAAAAGGAGAAAGCTTTCCTATATTTCGACATGTCGCGTATTTCATGTCAAAAACCAATGGGAGTAGTACAGAAACGTTGTTTAATTTATGACGTCACTGTATTGCAACATCGTCAGGGCACTGTATAACGTAGTCAATGGAATGTCAATGCACGTTAGAAATTGAGAGAAATAAATGGTCACAATAACATATATAAATTAATTAAAATATTAATAAAAATAAATGTTTCCTTGCAGATTTTCATATGTTATTAAATTGTTCTAAAACGTTAGCTACTTTTATGCGAAATTGATATTTCAAGATGACTTAGTAGTACAGTGTGAATGTAGCGCTGTAGTTAACACTCTAGCGCAATAAACTGAACACAATCCCTCTTCTCCTTTCGTTAGATTACATCATAACGATTATATAATGTTATATACCTATCTTATATACGGCTAATGCAGACCAGCCGCCATTCTGAAACTAATTATGTCCCTTTCAATAATATATTGAATTATATATTTAGTGATTTTATTAGGCTAGCGTATCATACACTTTAAATAATTCTGCTGGCCCATGAAGATCCGGGTTGTTCAACAGCAACCCATGTCGTAAGAGGCGACACACGAGATCGGGGGCCAATCTCGCTGACTTGGTGGATGCATGTCATCGTATGCAAATTCCGTAGATCGATGTTCGGCATGTTCTAGGTTGTCTGGTCCAGACTGGATTATTTACAGATCGCCGTCATTCAGCTTGAGAATTGCTGACTGCGACGTTGAACAACAAACAAAAATACACACAAGCAAGGATTTCTAAACACCAATTCTTACCCGGATCTTCACTGAATAAGTAGTCTACGGCGCTGAGCTTTGCTGTGATCGTTGGTTGGAATCCCAGGTTTGCTCTGATGTCGTTTCTAGAGTTTTCAGCAACATTCCCGTGCTTGTTTGTTAAACCAACCTGGAAACATACAATACCTGCGTCACTTTCCTCTCACGCCATGCTGACACGTCGTGACATGACTGAATTTCTGTTAAAAGCTCCCCCACTTGCTCATTCGCTCATCTGTTGACAAATGACATATTTTGGTTTCGTGAAAACGTGTATGCATTGCTCGCTAACCCGTCTCATAGATTTACGCATGGAATAAATAATTATCCTTGGCATCCCATTCCAGGAACCCCCGTTTGTGATACGCGAGGAGACTGAGAACGGAACACAGTACACGGGGTTCTCCATGGACGTGTTCAAGGAGATCTCACGGCGTCTTGACCTCGACTTCACGGTGTATGAACCCAGGGATGGACAGTATGGCAAACAGAACCCTGACGGAACGTGGACAGGACTGATGGGTGAAATACTGACTGGGGTAAAACATTCTGATTATACATCTTCTATACGTGCACAGACATAACTGAATGTGTTTTAACAACCAAGTTGATTTGTTGGTTTATTTTTTTTAACAATATATGTATGAGCATATGTCGTAAGTCCATCGGGCATTTATACATGCAATAACATTACTGAATATGTTTTGAATAGCCGAGTTGACATTTCGTGATCTTTTTAAATTTAACAATTCATGCATGTGCATATATCGTCCCCCATCCGTCCGTCCTCCCGTCCATCCATTCGTACGGTTTCGTAACGTTTATGGATTGAGCTAGAGCCTTACATGTGTGTCGATGTTCATAGCGATGAGAGACGCCAACTTTTGTTACTGTGGTTTGTGACGGTGCACGAGGCAGAGTCCTTGGTACCAACTTATCCGGAATTCTACAAATCACACTTGGGTCGATCTTGTCAGCGTGTCAGATCGCGCGGACTTTACAGTCATGAGGTGAAATTGAAAAAAAGCGAAATATTATAATTCGTTACTGATATCTCTAATACTGAATCTACTTTGGCGGAAGGGCGAAATGTAGTAATGATGAGAAGCTGACGCTTCACCGAATATCCAAACAATGTGTGGCTTTGTTTACATCTGAACGCTAAAACATATTTAACATCACAAAAAAAGCCAGATTTACGATAATACCAAAAAAGAAAGAAAATCCAAATACGATCGAAGACATTGATTTAGTATTTAAAAGATATAAGAATGTAGTTTTAGTTTTATTTCCACCTCGGACAAATAAAGGTGTACAAAAGTTTTCAATGAATCTATAGGAAAGAATTAGTTCAAACTAAGTTACGATTAGAATTAATACTTGTGTGTAATCTATACCCAAATATTTGCGTTTACGTGTCGGGTGAGCTACGTAGCCCTTGGACCAATGCTGAAAAAATAATGGTTAAACAGCTTTCACTGAATTAAGATTACTTGAAATGTTACACTTAACGCCTTAATGATACTTTGAAGCTGTCTTCCGGTATGTATTTGGACAAAGGTATATCGTTTCGATGGCGCTAAAATATTCATATCACGTCTGTGTGAGAAGTTAAATACATATTGTTACATCGCCCTCGAATAATATGAAATAAGAAAGATGTATGCAGGCAGAAGATTATGAGATATTGCTGACGATAGCCCTGGGTTACTTTAAGACAATACAACCTGCCGGCCCTCAGGTGTCTGTAAACTAAATGTAACGTTTCTCCACCCAGTATGCCGACATAGCTGTAGCGTCCATGTCCATGACAACTGAGAGAGACATGGTAGCCGACTTCACAACTCCATACTACGAATTCGGGGGCTTTCAAATCCTCATCAAGAACAATAACCCGGGCACATCTCTACTGGCATTTGCTAATGTGTTTTCCGGGGAGGTGTGGGCGTGTTGGGCGTCCGTCCTTCTCCTGTCGGGTCTCCTCGTGTGTGTCTTCGAACGCTTGAGTCCCTTCAGTCCCTACAACAAGGATCAGCATAAGGCACGGAAGAAGTTCACTGTGAAAGAGGGACTGTGGCTTGTAACGGCGTCATTTCCCATGGCAGGTAGGTGATTATATCAATACGGATATCACTTGGTTTATATTAGGTGAACTTATTTCGATAATTAGTTCTTACATATTATTGTTTTGTGTTCAATGAACTGTTAAAGGTAGATGTACATGTAGCTATTACTTCAAGGTTAAGTGAGTGAGTGAGTGAGTGAGTATGGTTTTTCGCCGCTTTTAGCAATATTCCAGCAATATCTCGGCGGGGGACACCGGAAATGGGCTTCACATGGGCTTGGTAAATGGTGTTGAATATTTTATGAATGGATCACTGAAAACCAAAGTAAGTGAGTGAGGTCTTACGCCGCTTTTAGCAATATTCCAGTAATACACTCGAAATGGACTTCACACGTTGTACCCATGTCGGGAATCGAACCCGGGTCTTCGGCGTGACGAGCAAACGCTTTAACCACTATGCTACCTGACCACCCCTTAAGGTTAAGTAATTTCAATACTCATGTCCTACCTTATGTTTTTTGTCTTCAGAAGTAGTCGCGTGGGGACTTAGGTAAAATTAGATCCTGAGATGGTTTTTCATTTCCAATTAGCTTTCTTGTGCCCCCATTTGGTATTAACACGGCATCAAGATACCACAGACTTCATTAAAAGCGATCGGTTTTGTAAAACAAAATATATTGTATAGACAATTGCACATTAAGCAATGTCATAGGAAATATTTTGCAACTGGATTTGACAAAATGTCCAGCATATTGTGTGTGGTCTACGTTTTGTCTACCCATGGGATTCCGGGTTAGAATTATTATAGGTCCCCGGCACCCTATGCCGGTCTTAATGAATCGGGTGATCAGGCTCTGTGACTTGATTTGTTGCGTGTCATCGTACCCCGACGGCGTGAGCCGTTGCTCCAATGTCATTCACTGGTTTGTCTGTAATAAACACGACTAGCTATACGCCCTGTCACTGTCTGACCGGGATTAGTCGCCTTGTCTGTGGTTATCAATGACAGTGACTGGTTGTTCTTTGACCAACTTTCTATTTCATGGCAAGGGAACGACCTGTCAATAATTATGATCAACCATATTTCACGAACGCGCCTCTGTGTGTTTTGGCTAAAGGCTATAGGCGTGAGGAGTACCACTGACTGTTGTGTCATAATATACATGTGAACCGTTGCTCCAATATCATTCACTTATTTGTCTGTATCAAACACGATTAGCTATACGCCCTGCCCCTGTCTGACCGTGATAAGTCGCCTTGGCTGTGGTTATCAATGACAGTGACTGGTTGTTCTTTGACCAACTTTCTATTGCATGGCAAGAGAACGACTTGGCAATAATTTTGATCAATCATATTTCACGAACGCGCCTCTGTGTGTTTTGGCTAAAGGCAATAGGCGTGAGGAATGCCACTGACTAAAGTGTCATAATATAGGACCGTCCGGCGTATTTTGCCTCTGACACTTTGCAACGAACATCGAATATTGCTCTCTTTGTTGGTTTTCAAGAAATCAATCTTAATTACACATACGACAAGACAGATCGAGGTTTATAACGGTTTATAACCGATATTTGCGTTTCGCCATGATTTAATTTCGTAATGCTAATTGTTCAGTTAGAGCGGCATAACGTCACATTGCTGTATTGTCTTATATTATATGTCTCCTTACAAGCCCCAAAGCTCGGGAAAACAATCATGTATTCTGATCAGAAAATTCCTGGAACCGCGATGGTTATTCTGCTACTCATTTTCACTTGCGACTCAGGTCCGGAGTGCACTCCTCGAACGTTCTCGACTCGTATGCTGGTTGGAGGATTCTGGTTCTTCTGCAGCATCATGATGGCCACCTACACGGCTAACCTGGCAGCCTTCCTCACCACATCCAGGCTCAGCGTCCCAATAGGTAGGAACATCATTCATTGACTGAGAAAGGAGCGAGTAATAATATCCTGTCTAATCACGAAAAAGGTTCCATTTGTTTACAGCATCGATTTCAGCATCGTGCATGTGGTGAATATCATAGTGTATATTGGCTTGTGAGTGAGTATGGGTTTACACCACTTTTAGAATGTTCAAGCAATATGACGGCTTTACACATTGTACCCATGTGGGGAATTGAACGCGATCTTTTGCGTGACGAGCTAACGCTTTAACCACTAGGCTATCCCACCGCCTCAAACATCCCAGAGTATGTTTTAGAAAAAAACATCATCTTTAAGCCAACGACTGGTGTTGCTTTGATATTTTGATTCAATAACGTATTTCATTTAATAAGAAAAAGTTTGTCGACAATTTTCGGATATGACTTACCAATAGATTTCTTTTCTGACCACTAGGTATACCAAAAATGACATCTTCGATATTGAACAATTTTCACTTATTTATTACACTGGATGTCGTTCTTGATACGTTCACTATTTTCATAGAGTCGCTTGATGACCTCGCAAAACAGAACACAATCAAGTATTCCGTGGTTCAAGGAACGGTGATCCATGAATACTTTCAAAGGATGGCGAAAATAGAATCGGATCTTTACCAGGAATGGAAAAGCATGAGTTTTTACACCAAGAACATAGGCAACTCTCGTACACTGCCCGCTAACTATGCTGTGTGGGATTACCCACTGGGGGACAAGTACCTCACGATCTGGAGATCCATCCAGAAGACTGGCTTGATAAATAATACTCGTGAAGGCATTGCCAAAGTACTGGCAGGTAATTTTGCCTTGATTCATGAATCGCCTATGATACAATACGAACTCTCCAAACACTGTGATTTGCTTGCTGTTGGCAAACAGTTCAGCAGCAGATCGTACGCATTTGCTCTGGCAGAAGGCTCGCCACTGACCCGCATCATCTCATATACGTAAGTACTTGCAGCATTATAAAAACTTATTTACTTTGATTCGTGTGATTATTTTACTTCAAGATCGACGACCTCTTCTGTAAAGTATTTGGCATGAATGTGACAGCAGGCAATGTCACTGTAATCAAATTGTGTATATAGAACCATGGAAGTTTGAAACAAGTCTGGTATGTTGTACATGGAGCCAACCCAAGTCTATAGTTGTGTGCAAGTCTCTGGGGCATATTTTATTTACATAATTTAACAACTGTCTTTTTTGCTGTGAAATATTTTCATTTCAGAGACTAAATGTTAGTCTAAAAGCAGTCATGAATACTTGTATAGTTAGGTTTACCTGTATACTGGTATAAGAGTGAACACTGATGATTCATAATTTAATTTCAGGGTAACTCAATGTATTGTAAATGATGATCTAAAATAATTAGGAAATGTATAATTATAAAATATATTGCCAATGCATAAATGGCACATCGACTATACATAAATGTCAGCGTTGCTCAAAACATTTTTATATATTTTATGTCTGCTCTTACATCGCTGCAGCAAAGCCTCGTGTTAGTTCACTGACAAAACCGCTGGTTCTAAGTTGAGTAACAGTAAGAGAATATGATATTTCTATGCTAATATCAATGTGAATATACCATCATTTCAATCAGTAAATGTAGAATAGGTCTGCAGCAACCCATGCTTGCCGTAAAAGGCGACTATGCTTGTCGTAAAAACTGACTAACGGTATCGGGTGGTCAGGCTCGCTGACTTGGTTGATACATGTCATCGATCCCAATTGCGTAGATCGATGCTCATGATATCAATCACTGGATTGTCTGGTCCAGACTCGATTATTTACAGACCGCCGTCATATAGCTGGAATATTGCTGAGTGCGGCGTTAAACAACAAACCAACCAACCAACCAATCAGTAAATTGTTAGTGTGTTCACTAAATATATCTTCACGTTTATGAAGCACACGACGGGAAAACCACCGAACCAGCTTGATCAGCTCTTGTCATTCCAGGATATTACAACTGCAGTCCGAGACTATTCTGGAAACTATGAAGACGAAATGGTGGAAGAACGGCAGTTTGACATGTTCCCAGGTTGATGAAAGTGGCGGCCTCACATTTCACACTGTCGGTGGCATCTTCGTTGTTGCTAGTGTCGGCATTGGACTTGGAGTAATTGCCCTTGGTCTAGAGCGTCTGTGGGCGTCATTGACAAGGGTGCCGAAAGTAAGATGCGTCACTGAGTAAGATGCGTAATGAGTGAGTGAGTATGGTATTACGCCGTTTTAGCAATATTCCAGCCATATCACGGCAGGGTACAGCAGAAATGGGCTTCACGCATTTTAATGTACACTTACATATTCAGGGAGCATCTTCGAGTTTATTAATCCAACATTGGTCTGATTTCAACATTATTTCTGTTTGTAATGCGTTCCAGTGACACCGTAGCAAACCCCAGCTACGCTTGGTTTAGCGTTTGTCAAAAGCACACCCTAATATAATTCAGTTAATGAAAAATTTTGAACCAGAACGTTGATTGTTTGTTTGTTGTTTAACGCTCCACTCGGCAATAATCCAGCTAAATGACTGAAGTCTGGAAAAAACCGAGTTTGGACCAGACAATCCAGTGATTGACATCATGAGCATCGATCTACGCATTTCGGTACGATGACATGCATTAACCAAGTCAGCGAGCCTTACCACCCGATCCCGTTAGTCGCCTCTTACGACAAGCATTGTCACACCACACGCACGGGTTGCTGAAGACCCTTTCTAACCTTCACGGGTTCAGAACTACTTCAAGAATGAAAGTCACCCAAAACTTCAACTTCAATGTCCCACCCTTGCAACTACATTTCCAAAGTTTCATCTTCCTACAGTTAGGTCTTGCTGAGTTATCTTACATAAACTATTGATTTGAGTATTCATTATCAGTCACGTGTTTTCAAGAACATTACCAAGGTGTTAAACAGTGCTAGTGTGAGGACCCGGATCTTCACGGGTGTAAAACGTTGATAGCCACTCTTGTAATAACCAATGACGTTCTACATTAGCATGTCTACTGTAAATGTAGTGACCGCCTCCGTGGTCTAATGGTAGCGCGTCCGCCCGCAGAGCGGAAGGTCCGGGGTTCGATCCCCGGCCGCGTCATACCAAAAGACGTTAAAAGATGCTTCTTGTTGTTACCCTGTCTGGCGCTCGGCATTAAGGGGCTAAAACGAGGACTAGTCGGCTCGGAGTCAGTATACTGTGTCTGAGTGGGGTATTCATGTTAAACTGCGACATGGTATCTCAGTGGGATAGCACTATAAATCGGCATCAGTCCGGACTAGTACAAGCAGCCACACACACACATATATATAAATGCAATAATCTTGGACGCGACGTTGAAACCCCATTTCCCCACCTCACTGTAAATGCAGTTGGCACTTATATTCAGTCTAAGAGCTGTTGTGTGTAAGAACGTAACAGGACACTGTATCATGACACCTCCTCGTTCCTTGTCTAAAGCTGCGTATATATTACAGGAGCAACATAACACTCAAGTAACGTCGCTGAATGGCCAAACAAATCTTGCTGCTGACTTCAACCCGGGGATCAGTTATCTTGCCAAGGAGTTCTACGGTGAGGAGGGCACGGCCGACATTGACGCTATCACACTGGAGATGGCGCGAATGTATTAGTTGAATTTTCACCATGACTTCAAGCCATGTAAATGCCCATAGAGAGAATTTATGGATGTCAACTTCTTTATTATGAGGAACACAACGTTTCGGAATATACGCTTACTCCTTCATAGGGTGAAATTTCAACTTCTTTATAATGAGGAACACAACGTTTCGGAGTATATGCTTACTCTTCATCGGGTGAAATGTCAACTTCTTTATTATGAGTAACACAACGTTTCGGAGTATATGCTTACTCCTTCATCGGGTGAAATGTCAACTTTTTTAGAATTAGGAACACAACGTTTCGGAGTATATGCTTACTCCTTCGTCGGGTGAAATGTCAACTTCTTTATTATGGGGAACAACGTTTCGGAGTATATGCTTACGCCTTCATTGGGGGAAATGACATTTCACCTGATGAAGGAGTAAGTATATATTCCGAAACGTTGCGTTCCTCATAATAAAGTATTTGACATAAATAAATTCTCTTCCTTAAGTGTATCACTTCTAAATGCCTTTCAAAGACTATGTACATGCAGTTTCATTTCTTCAGGTGGCGGTTTATAACAGAAACGTACTTGAACAGACACCATTTACTACTTTTTAAGTATTATGCTTATATACATCCAAGAATTTCATAATCATTGGACCCGTGAAGATTCCGGGGTAGAATAGGTCTTCAGCAACCCATACTTGCCGTGAAAGGCGACTACGGGATCGGGTGGTCAGGCTCGCTTACTTGGTTGATACATCCAATTGCGTGGATCGATGCTCATGATGTCAATCACTGGGTTTTCTGGTCCAGATTCGATTATTTTACAGACCGCCGTCATATAGCTGGAATATTGCTGAGTGCGGCGTTAAACAACAAACAAACAAACAAATCATAATCATTGAGGCTGTTTCATTATTTCTATTGCAATATTCTATTTGTTACCACATTACGAAAGTAGAAATGTGTGACCACTTTGCTCCCTTTATATCGTCGTCCATATTTGTGGGCGATATGGTAGCCTAGTAGCGTTCGCACGTCACGCCAAAGACCCAGGTTCGATTCCCCACATGGGTTCAATGTGTGAAGTCCATTTCTGGCGTTCACCGCCGCGATATTGCTGAAATATTGCTAAAAGCGACGTAAGGCTATGATGCTTATGCCCTCACTTACACACATTTGTGATACATTACAGGAATCCAAGAAGAATGTTTATTTTACCAACACTATGCACACTGTAAATAAACATAACTATATCTAATAAAATTCACTTTGAGTATTGAAAAATGTTTGTTGTGCTTGTATATGTGTAGGGAGGACGGTGTCTCATGGTAATGTTTTGGTTTGGTTTGGTTTGTTGTTTAACGCCGCACTCAGCAATATTCCGGCTATATGACGGCGGTCTGTAAATAATCGAGTCTTGACAAGACAATCCAGTGATTGACATCATGAGCATCGATCCACGCAATTGGGATCGATGACATGCATCAACCAAGTCAGCGAGCCCGACCACCCGATCCCGTGAGTCGCCTTTTAGAAGCATAGTCACCTTTTACGGCAAGCATGGGTTGCTGAAATGTAGCGGAATTGGTACGAATAATGATGGCAGTGTAACCCTGTAGTGAATTACATCATATGATGAAATGTCGCACTTATGTCTTGATCCATTGCAATGCATATACAGTATGTGTCATAATTATTGAGAATTGTAGAAACAGGAGTATCTGTGCTCTTTGCTAATGTAGCAGCATCAGTGATGCCTTCATCATGGAGCTGTAGAATCAACCTTCTTTCTCCTCTGCACTCCTTTCTGACATATCAGGAAAAGTCGATTGCTCCATAATAAAGGGAGATAACTCCAATTTGGGACTTCTAAAATTGAAGAAGAGTTGCTTCCCTTTGACCATACCTCAATTTTAAACACTTGTGAATATTGATATTTTATGTATGCTTCCTTGAATATCACAATAAAATTCTCAATAATTTTGAATCAGACTATATTATGGTGCACACATGTAGGTGTGTATTATGAATGAACATACACACAACATATGGCCTCTGGTACGTTCATGCAACGGATCAAAGCAGGCGTTGTAACTATTCATGTTTGATCGTTGATCAGGGTTACAACATTTAAGGCCTTAAAAAAGCTTCATAAACGTTTCATAACGTTTTGGAGGACATTTCCACATTTGACGCGCCAGTGACAAAAATAATGTCCAATGCAGTCCCAATTTTGATATGTACCACACGTTCCCGTGTTAAGCTAAACAACTGACTTGCGTTGTCTGTGTTTAGGACTAATACCACCGATGTGGCTTGATACGCTCACATTTTTACGAATACCTGATATCATCACTATTTTCTTATAATGATATAGTCGGAATTGTATACTCAAAGAGATTTCTCATAATTATTAATTCATTATATTATTAATCAATCTTTTCAATCTGCATGTAATTTTGTCTGTTACATCAGATTGGTTGGGTTGGTTTGTTGTTTAACGCCGCACTCAGCAATATTCCAGCTATATGACGGCGGTCTGTAAAATAATCGAGTCTGGACCAGACAATCCAGTGATTGACATCAAGAGCATCGATCCACGCAATTGGGATCGATTACATGTATCAACCAAGTCAGCGAGCTTGACCACCCGATCCCGTTAGTCGTCTTTCACGACAAGTATAGTCGCCTTTTACGGCAAGTCTGGGTTGCTGAAGACCTTTACATCAGAACGATATATATTTTAACATTTACCTTTTTCATCGTTCACGTGTCTGCTGAATATACCAAATAACGTAAAAGTGCCCTGACAACGACACATCAAATTCTATGGATCAACTTTTTTGTGGGTTAGATCCATCGATACATTAACTTTAAATCACAATTTTAACCTTTAATTCATAAATACTGCCATAACGTTAAAACACAACTACTTTCATTTCAATATTAAACTGCTGACCGTGAACGGCATTTCTAGTAATACCTTGCTGGTCAGGGTAAGTCATCATAACAGTGCCCGAATGTGTTGTCTGATCGTGCAACCTAGAAACATTAACATTGGGCATTCACAACGACAGATATGGGCTGATTCTCTCACCCCTTTAGCAGTATTGCTACCATATGAAGACGCGGAACACACAAACTTTCCTTCGCATTGTGTACTACATAGTACTATTACAAATAAATTGTCCAATAATCCGGATATATCAGATGCATTGCACATATTTTCTTTGAAAATGGGATCAACATGATCTTGTCAAGGTTAAAATGCCCTCCTTCAGTATGCCACAGCCACATACACAATCGTGCAGTCGTGATAATGCATCAATTCAACACTTAAAAACGCAGAAACAAATTTACAATCAGTTACAGTACATGTACAATTATATCAAACAAACAAAAATGGTATTGGTCGTGGTTACATGAGCAAGCATTACGCGACATGGAATGTGTATTACGTCTTTGTCTGTTGCAGGAGGCATACAATGCAAGTGTTGGCCGTGCGTGTGCTAACCCAAGCACTGAGACATATTGCCTCAGTGTAACATGAATACCCCACTCATCCACAGTATACTGGCTCCGAGCCGACCAGTCCTTGTTTAAGCCCCTTAATGTCGAGCGCCAGGCAGGGCAACAACAAATATCATCTTTTAACGTCATTTGGTATTGACGCGACCTGGTATCGAACCCCCGACCATCCGCTCTCTGGGCAGACGCTCTATCCACTGGACGGTTTTATGGGACCCACCATATTAATATTCAGGGGGTGGGCTTGTTTTTCTTCGGGTAAAGCCAGGATTTGTTTTCGGTAATGTTTTAAAAGAAGCCCTTCCTTCCTCTTGTAGGAGCTGCCGAGTAACTTAGAAATTTTTCAAAACACACCTATATCAGGATAGCGACTAACTTTCTGGTTTCAACTTCTGAGGAAAATAAATATGTTTCCATTTTTTCAAAGAAAAGTACTAAATCCCATCCCCAACTAAGGAATTACAAAAAAAGATGTTCTGGACAATGATGACTGTTGACAGAAACAAAGCGACACAGCAAAGATTGACATTTAGAAATGCTAGATTTTGTCAAGTTCTTCCTCCGCCAGCTGGAGTCTCTCGAGACGAGACTTGCATTCTCTCCTCGTGTAGGCCATGTCTGGATCTTCCTGGATGTGAACCATGGTTCTTTCGTCAGAAGCAATGTCCATCAGCAGGATACGCATATCCTCAACCTGTTCCCGGAACATGTGCTGTTGAATGATCATGGGGATGACATCACAGAGACGCCGTGCAGCAATCTGCAACAAATGTACACGAGGATTGGTACACTCAAAACAGCAATACTGACACTTTGAGAACACTTTGAGAACAATCTGAAACAAATGTGCACGAGGATTGGTACACTCAAAACAGCAATACTGACACTTTGAGAACACTTTGAGAACAATCTGAAACAAATGTACACGAGGATTGGTACATCCAAAACAGCAATACTGACACTTTGAGAACACTTTGAGAACACTTTGAGAAATGCAATGCAAATACTCCAAGTAAAGTGAGATTATTGATCAGGTCCCAAACCTGAAATCCTTTAGAATTTGGAATCAATTGTGAATATGTGTAAAAATGAATGTTTTTAATCCATTGACATTCTGTAAATATCCAAGGAATTGAGGCCGCACATGGAATCTGATTCCTGCCTGACCTATTTGACTTATTTTACCATTGAATGAGAACTGTCCTATCCTAGGGAAAGTATATGCCAAATTAAATTAATTATAAATACACAAACTTAGTTTGACATCCGCTAAACGAGTTCCCGAGGGCCTTTTGAAAGAAATCAAAGACGAATAATCTGTAATATGTGTAAGTGTTAGTGGAGTGAGTATGGTTTTACGCCGCTTTTAGCAATATTCCAGCAATATCACGGCGGGGGACACCAGAAATGGGCATCACACATTGTACCCATGTCGGGAATCGGACCCGGGTCTTCGGTGTGACGAGCGAACGCTTTAACCACTAGGCTACCCGACCGCCCCCTAATATGTGTAAGTTGTGTAGTAGGCATTAAAAAAAATCCTAAAAATCATGTGCAGATAATTTGATACTGTGGGGCGGAGTAGGGGTGGGAATATAATATATGATATAGATGTGTTTTGAAAAAATATCTAAGTTGCTCGGGAGCTACTACCAGAGAAGTACGTGTTTTTGAACAATACCGAAAACATATCCTAGCTTTAACAAAAAAACAGGCCCATCCCCCTGAATATTAATTTGGTGGGTCCCATAAAACTGTCCAGTGGATAGAGCGTCTGCCTAGAGAGCGGATGGTCGGGGGTTCGATACCAGGTCGTGTCAATACCAAATAACGTTAAAAGATATTTGTTGTTACCCTGTCTGGCGCTCGGCATTAAGGGGCTTAAACAAGGACTGGTCGGCTCGGAGCCAGTATACTGTGTGTGAGTGTGGTATTCGTGTTAAACTGCGGCAATGTATCTCAGTGGGCACACACACACACGCAGTGTTAATTACAAAATGAGTGACCTCGGCCTTGAGTATGAGCTTATCGCATGTCTTATAAAGAGGCTTTCTTCAACGAACAACACATAGCAATGTACCTGGCAATAAGATCTTAGACTCAACAATGCCTTGCCGACACCGTTCACATCTTCTTCCGTTATGCCTACTGAAACATAGAAACATTCTCAAGAAAACGCAGCTCATCCAACGTAAAATCGTAATCGTATCGTACACGCACATACAGTATCAGGTGGGGGAGCTTTAACGAGTACATTATTTCTATATACACCATACGGGCGAATGCGTTATGATTAAACACGTGACAACAAAACTAAGATTAGATCACAGTCGCAAGGGCCAAAGTAGAAAATACAGTCTGGTGTACTAAATGCTGTATATGACTACGCTATCACAGCACCTGAACTTGGCAGTGTCATTCCTCTCCTCTCTTCCTCTTCTTTTTCTTCCTTTCGTTTCTTTTTCTCTTCTGTTCCTAGAACGGAAAATAAAAGTTAGCGTAAGGACTGCATTAAATGTTGATAAAGATGCGTGTATAGTTACAGATTGAGCATTTTTGGTTTGCCAGAACTTTATTTCCAAGGAATTTGTCCAATTTTGGTAAAATTGTGATAAACTTGAAAGATTACTTATACTGCCAAGAATCATTACGACTCATTCACTCCTGGAGATATAAACATACATACATGAAGATGATGATGATGATGATGATGATGATGATGATGATGATGATGCCTACCATGGTAAAAGAGCCAACTTCCTCAGACATATCACACAATGTAGAACATGCAAAGTCAATAATTTTCACCACACAGTACTCATCTACAAGCACAGTAAGAATTAAAAATCTGAAGTTTGACACAGGGCTTTACGAAAGTACCTACGAACTGTTATTTAAATATCAAATATATCGATAGTCGTCAGTGATTACTGACACAGCGCCCGTGCTTGTGGGTTTCACCGAAGTGGTAAACGTCTGAGACCTGCATTACTTCGGGCTTTCCTCCCACATTAAGCTTTAAACTGACACGCCGTGATATAACTGGAATAACGTTAAAAGCGGTGTTAAACCCAACTCACTCACTGACTGGCACAGCGCTTTTAGAAATTACCGAGAGAATCTCTCCAAATTAAACATCGATCGATATAAGATATATCAACACTATTCGCTGAAGGTAGTGATCATATTTAGCTTTCACGTATTATCCACAACCAGTCATACGAACATTATTCAAACCTTGAAAATCAAGTTTGTTTCATCTGTCAATTTTAAGGAGCACAACAACCCCAGAAAACAATCTGTGAGCATTTAACAAATCATCTCATGTCTCTTTGATGACGCACGCTGCATCGTGGTTGCGGAATAAGCAGTGGCAAACCAGGTGAATATAGACATATTGCTGACGTTGGTTGGTTGGTTTGCTGTTTAACGCCGCACTCAGCAATATTCAAGCTATATGACGGCGGTCTGTAAATAATCGAGTCTGGACAAGACAATCCAGTGATTGACATCATGAACATCGATCTTCACGGGTTCATTGCACCACTTACGTAACTCGCTCCTATACGTATTATCCTGGGAGTACACCAGATTCTCCATCGTGAAATACTTCTGTATTTCCTCTTTGCAGTCACCATGAGTGTCTTTCTTTGTCCTCATGATAACCTCCTGAAATATGTCGAAAAAAGAAATATTTCAAGAATAACAATATGGCATGCATGTTACATGTAAGATGTCCACAGCTGGGGAAAACATCATATGTCCGACATCATGAGGAGCTGGATAACAAATATTAACCATACCATCGGGGACACAAATCCTTTACGATTTCTTTCTTATGATGATGGAAATGGGTTTGTCGCTTATATTTATACTCAAACAAGCAGCTTGACAAAAATCTTTCGAAGACCAAATGTAAATGTATTTATGATTTTACACGCCCTTCAACATTGGTGACTTATATTGTACAAAATAGTTGACGTTATTACAGATATCGTTGGAATTTCGTTTCTTAAAATCCGCATGACCCTTGTCGCCCTATTAGTGTTGACATCAGGTAGCATCATTCTGCATAGACCGCCACTTTGAGAGGCAATGGTGTCATCAAACAGTCAAATTATGTCATGTGTCAAAGTGCAAGGAACAATCAGTCAAGTCGGAATATTTCAAGATGCAGAAAAGATATGATAAAGATGCTATCACAGTTTGCCAAACATCGTTCAGTCAATATTAATAAAACTTATTTGTGCTGACGTAATGCAATATGACGTATATTCATTTGTCGTCTTAACTGATTTTGTGAAAGAATACGGTTAACTATAGAAAAAGAATAAATATATATGTGTTAAACACCTTTGCTCTCTGTGCAAAATCAGGGAATTTCTCGAAACACTTTTCTGCTAGTATATTTAGGATGCCTATTGTATTGCGATGTACGTCGTCGAAACAGCGAAGTGCAGGTACTTCCAGTTTTGAGATGTATTCCCGGGCATAACTTTCCACAAGTTCAAATTTGCCTAGAAAATTACAGAACTCTCGACCTCGAGAACATTCCATCCTCTCTTGTAGATCGTTCTTCACCTTCGGTTTCTTGATATCTGGAAAATACGTACAATTATATGTCATTCCCTGTATCTTGTCTCGGGTTATTACATAATTGGGGTCCGGTTGATCTAATTCAACCACGTTTAAAGTTCAAAGAACCTGAGAACCAATTTTCGTCATTGTCATCGGAGTTTAACTAACTGTTTTAACGATTACATGTGGATCCGATTGGTCAAACCAGATTAAACCATTGTACACGGGTCGGAATAACCAAATTAAGAACCTAGGCACCTAAAAAGTTTAATAATATTTCAAAAGATATTAAAGAACACTGTGTTTTTTACCTACATGGTGCACATGGAAGTGTTCCTTGAGCATTTCGAACCCATACCACATGATCATGAATTCATGTATATTAATCATTTCGGAGCAATTCAAACAAGCATATAAACTGACGTCCAAAAGAAACTTTACCAACTGAAAATATAAATTTCAGACAAATTATATTTTTTTTCGATGAAGTCCATCTAAAACACATATTAAGCTAAATACAACAATAGTGTATGCAGAAAATGTGAATTGTCTGTTACATGTTTGCGAGATAACACGCGAAAAAAGTGAAAAACACGTGCACCAAAGACAACTGCAAATGCACGTGCGGGTATTAAAGGTATTAGGGTATTAAACTATTGCAACGGCAAGTCAGACATCCACAGTGATAGAAAAACACAAAAGAAATGACACGACTCACAGTCGAACAACGTGAACGAGCCTTGGATATGGTACAGATGGGAGCCACCCACGCCCATATTGCACGAACCTTCGGTTGCTCCCGTGTTGCCGTTACCAACTTGATGCAACGTTACAGACAGACAGGGAGGACTGCTGACAGGCCAAGAACGGGCAGACCCAGGGTGACCACGCCCCATGTGCCTTGGTGCAAAACGAGTGTTACGTTGCCTCCAAACACGTATTCGACCATCAACAGTTCGTAGCAGCATTCGACACTCGTCAGACCAATGGATCCTTCTCCAGTTGGCCAAGTCTCATCGACTACGGGCACGACACCATATCAGACGATTCCGCATGTGCCTCTCAGTCAGGTGCGGTTCTGGCGTCATAACAAGCCGCCCTTACGGTCATCATCGAGAGTCTCTGATGGGTAATCCAATGCAGTCTTAAATCTGTTGAAGTGGCAAATGGATTTCGTCTGACTATCCTGAAAAGACGTCTATCCTCCTGTTAGAGGTCTTTCTTCGCCTACCAAATCGATGCCTGTCATTGCCATCATTGGTTTGACCATGTTTGACAATCAACCGAGTGATAACACTGTGATGACGACCCATTTGTCTTGCAATGGCCCTGCATGACATGCCAGCATTTTTCATGCCTATCACTTGCCATCTTTCAGCGTTCGTTAACTCTCTCCTCGCCATGGCTGATTTTCAGCCTCTATTGGAAGGGGAATCTCACACAGGAGCAAAATGCAACCACGTGTTTGAAACTTGAATTTCACTATTTATAGGGTAGGGGAACTGCAGCAACACGTAAAGAACGCTTTCCTTGTGGTATCTGGACAAATTTGGGTTCATGAAATTATGGAAGCCTAATTCAGTCATACATCATCATATTTCGTATTTCTCATTCCCACAAGTGAAAAAAAGAGACTATGAATATGGTGGCGCCTAACTTTTGCTCATGTGAAAATATTATTATTGGGTTGATTTTTCTTACAGTTTACCTTCGTTTCTCCTGATTCTTATAATTCACCACGCTCACTGTGAAAATGTGCACATTTCTGTCACGTTTTGTACTGTACCAAGTACTGTCCAAAACATATTTATTGTTTACAGAAAATTATCTTTAATTATCCCTTCGAAGATGACACTTTGTATAAGGCACATTCAAATATATCAAACAATCTCACCATTTTCACTCACGTACAATATTTCATTATTCTCGCTAGTGCGGTCAGAAACAACAATCATTTTCAAGTCGTTTGTGTGAACAGTTGGAAAACACGTTCGCTTTCGCGACGGAATGCATAGTATGAAGCAATATTGTGCAAAGTCAGAGAAACCTTTAGTGTCGCTAAAATGTAAAATGTCTTTTGAACGTTTTAAAATAGTTTGGCATTATACATACCTGGTTGTTTCTGAGCAGCGATTTTAGACAACTCTACGAAAGACCGGCGGGCACTGCTGTAGAGGCTGTTAATCTTTGGTGGAAACTTCGGGTCATCCCAGTGTTGTCCAGTGGTCAAAGCGGTGGTAATTTTGATAAACTCGGTGACCATCTGTCAAAAACATCTCATCTCTAAAGGATTTTTTCTTCTTGCACGCTTCCTTTAATCGATTTATGTATTTGGGGAGCATGTGAAAATATTTTAAGGATATGAGGTGAGGTGAGGTGAAATTGGGTTTAACGTCGCGTCCAAAATTATTGCACTTATATAGCGACGTGCATGCACGTGTGTTTGTGTGTGTGGCTGCTTGTACTAGACCGGACTGATGCCGATTGATAGTGCTAGCCCACTGTATATACCATGCCGCAGTTTAACATGAGTACCCCACTCATACACAGTATACTGACTCCGAGCCGACCAGTCCTTGCTTTAACCCCTTAATGCCGAGCGCCAGACAGGGTAACATCAAGTACCATCTTTAAACGTTTTTTGGTATGACGCGGCCGGGGAACGAACTCCGGACCTTCCGCTCTCCGGGCGGACGCTCTTCCACTAGACCATGGAGGCGGTCTTTAAGGATATGAAAACACATATACAATATTTAAGGGAAATTAACCAACTAAACTGGCTGGCTTGTAAACGGTAACAGTTTCTACAGCACTGTCCTTTAATAGTTAAATCATAGGGCACAACGTTATTTTCATAACAGTTTACTTCGTCGTTAATCATGGATTAATTTATAGTTGTAGTTAATTTTACTCAATAGATACTGGACTACCGCGCGAAAAGACGTTAGGGTAGAATTTCATGATACCCCACACGGGGTGTAGCCAGTTTCTCATAATATGTTTCTGATGTGGCAGGAATATTTCTAAAAGGGGAGTTAAACCCCACTCCCTCTGTTACCTGGAGAGCCATCTGCCGCTTCTCTGAGGCTGTTTCTGGCGGATCCCCACCAAGTTCATGTAAGTCACGCTCCGTCTCAAGAAGTTTGTCGCGCACATCCTCCTTCAGTACCGGTAACAGTTTCTACAACATTGTTCATGATGAGCAGTTTTAACTTGAACCCTGTGTCTCAGTTTGTTTGTTTGATTGTTATTTAAGGAATCACTCAGGAATCTTCCAGCTATATGACGGCGTTCTGTAAATAATAGTATCTGGACATGACAATCCAGTGATTGATGTCATGAGCATCGATCCATGCAATTGGGATACGATGACATGCATCAACCAAGTCAGCGAGCCTGACCACCAGATCCCTTGTCGTCGCCATTCACTTCCAGTTTAAAGACATCAATTCCTGTTTTCGAACACAAAAGGCACCATGCCTCTAGATACCTAAACACACTTTTGTACACTTTAAACCACACGGTTAATATAATAATTTCCGCTTAGGGGGGACAACAACGTAATTTATTAACATATCGTACAACCACAGGCACTTGTTTCAGTACTCAGAGTCAAGAGGAAGAACTTCTTCTTTGCTTTGCTTTGCTTTGTTGTTTAACGACACACTCAGCGATATTCCAGCTATATGACGATGGTCTGTAAATAATCAAGTCTGGACAAGACAATCCAGTGATTGATATCATGAACATCGATCTACGCAATTGGGATACGATGACATGCATCAACCAAGTCAGCGAGCCTGACCACCAGATCCCATTAGTCGCCTCCTACGGCAAACATTGGTTGCTGAAGACCTATACTACCCGGGATCTTGACGGGTCCAGGATTACTTCAAGAATGAAAGTCGCCCAAAATTTCAACTTCAATGTCCAACCCTTGGAATAACATTTCCAAAGTTTCATCTTCCTACAGTTAAGTCCTGCTCAGTTATCGGATATAAATTATTTCTTTAAAAATATTAATTTGGAGAGTCACATGTTTTCAAGAACATTACCAAGGGTTAAACAGTATGAAGACCAAATATCTTAACCCCAGTTGGAATGTTAGGAACAGAGCATATGCAGCAGGTAACGGTGATCCAGATACTAATATTTTCATAAGGATGAGGGGGCGGTCGGGTAGCCTAGTGGTTAAAGCGTTCGCTCGTCACGCTGAAGACCCGGGTTCGATTCCCGACATGGGTACAATGTGTGAAGCCCATTTCTGGTGTCCCCCGCCGTGATGTTGCTGGAATATTGCTAAAAGCGGCGTAAAACCATACTCACTCACTCACTCACTCATAAGGATGACATCGTTTGTCATTGGCAGGTATTCAAACACATAACTCCTACATATACAAATCTTCAAAATATTTGTAGGAAGCGTCATTGAAAAAAACACATGGCAAAACATACTTTTGATTTACCTTCGAAATGACCATGACCACTTATGGAGAAGCATTTAAGTTCATTTCATTGACATATAATAAATGTTCCGTGGGTTATCAGTTGGCTATTTCAAGCGACAGCCTTCTGTGTGACCTTGATGCTTGTCATGTATGAGTAATGTCTTATTATAATTAACTACCCAGAACAATATAGAAAATACAATAAACTACGGTTATAACGAACTCAAAGGGACTACTATTTTTAGTTCGTTATAACCGTAGTTCGTTATAAGCATATATACAACATAACTACAGCAAATAGTTTTGACTAAAAAGTTAGTTCGTTATATCCGTCAGTTCGTTATAAGCGTGTTCGTTATAACCGTTGTTTACTGTATTGTTTTGATATGAGAAATAGCCGAGATCTCCAAGCACTACGACAATCCAAAAATAAAACGTCTGCGACAGCGTTCGATGGCACATTCACATAAAAACATAAGGCATTCTCATTAGAGGTTATAAGACTTTATTAGTACAAAGATGTAGAGATTGTTTTTACGAAACATTGGGGCAAAAGAAAAAAAGAGAAGCTTTGCAACATTTTCTTATGTTCATTACGTTCACAAGAGGTTGAAACCCTGGTGCCAGTAGTTCAAAAGATCACGATTTTAAAACTTTTTGTGAAATTATATTTTTGAAAGTAATAACAATTTTTTTTTTAAATCTTACAATGCAATTACAATGACTTTAATGAGAAAAAATGTTGTTAGTTCAAAGAAGAAATGTCAACTACTTCAGTCAAGCAGTGTCAGAGGAGAAGTGTTTAAGAGCATGGTAAATGTTCAAATGTCTTTTAACCTGAAGCTCAGTGTCAGTGTAATATTAGTCTGTCACAAGAAGGATACCCTCTTTGAATTGTTGTTTCATAATAAGAAGCAGGTCCCCATCCCTTGCCATTGCCTCGACGACCGATGCAATACCCGTTTTAGCGTCGGCTAGCCAAAGTTTGTTTGTTTGTTTGTGTGTTGTTTAACGCCGCACTCAGCAATATTCCAGCTTTATGACGGCGGTCTGTAAAATAATCGAGTCTGGACCAGACTATCCAGTGATTGACATCATGCGCATCGATCCACGCAATTGGGACCGATGACATGTATCAACCAAGTCAGCGAGCCTGACCACCCGATCCCGTTAGTCGCCTTTTACGACAAGCATAGTCGCCTTTTACGGCAAGCATGGCTAGCCAAAGAGTTTTTTAAAGGATAACTGACAAACATGTGCAATTGACAAACCTGAGGGGTCTGACGTCCGTGGGCAGTTTGTGTCTGCTTTAAATTATTTCGAGAGTTTCTCCTACATCAAAAGGTGTATATCACACTGGCGAAGCTCTACCTGGACCATCCTATTCAGAGCCTATCCCCATTTCGTTCTCAAGTTAAGTAGGCTTTTCATGGCATTCATAAGCGAAAACCTACTTCACGCATGCAACGTTTCAGGTACGATTCAGACAAAAACTGTAGCTGGACAAAAATAACAATAATTGCCAAAAAACTATTATAAGTTATTCCGAATACCGCATACTTGCTGCAGATCAAAATGACAGCTCGGAAATGCAGCGTCAAACGTCTTGTGTAAGTGCGTAAACAAAGTAAATCAAACTATTTTGTTATACACACCTTGATGTGTTTCTTCAGCTCACGTGACAATCTCATTGATAAGTTGGGGATTCCCCACTGAGATGGTCGCAAGGAGCTGGAACATAGGAAACATACATGTAACTCATAAAATAACATGACTGTTTAAATAGGTATAATGTTACCCTGGCTTACTTTTATATAGCACTTTTCATATTTATCCCCATCTTGCAAGTAAACGGCAGTCGATGGTTGAGCGCAATCACACCCAGTGTGATCCTGATTATAACATACTGGTCTTTACTGTAAAGAATGATAATGTACAAAGTCTAGATGTGTCACTTGCCTTTCAATGTGATGATTGCACTGCCTACAAAGTGTGACCCGTGAAGATCCGGTGTAGAATAGGTCTTCAGCAACCCATACTTGCCGTAACAGGCGACTATGCTTGTCGTCAAGATAGACACAATTTTATGGATAAAAACTTCTTTAATACTGGCAAAATCGACGTTTCGGTATAGATCCTTATACCGTTGTCAAGCAAGACACACATTCAGTCTTGTTTGACAACGGTATAAGGATCTATACAGAAACCTTGCTTTTTACAGTATTAAAGAACTTGTTATCCACAAAATTGTGTCTCCCTTGTCAACCGTCAACATGTAAAGCCTAGCAAACAATTTATACTTGCGTAAAAAGCGACAAGGGGGATCGGGTGGTCAGGCTCGCTGACTTGGTTGATGCATGACTTGTCATCGATCCCAATTGCGTGGATCGATGCTCATGATGTAAATCACTGGATTGTCTGGTCCAGACTCAATTATTTACAGACCGCCGTCATATAGCTGGAATATATCTGAGTCCGGCGTAAACAACGAACAAACAAACAAACCTAAAATGTCTGTGACTTTTAAAGAAATCTTCTTCTACTTCTAGCGCCTGTTTCAAGGATTGGCCGTCCGATATAGCCTCCTGGCCTCGACACTTGACAATAATGTAGCCCTTGGACAGCGTGAACTCCTTGTTGTTGAGGATCCTCACCACGCCCGACTCGGCTCCCTTGTCCAGCAAGTCCGGCTTTGTTAGAACTCCTGTGCAGATACATTTTAATATTAAAATCCCATTGATAACATATGTACATGAAAGTATCAACACAAACTTAGAGATCAATATCATTTAAATACATTTTCTGATTGCCTTTTTAAACATTAAACGAAAGTGATCAACCTACCAAGAGTTCTGCCACCTTCGGTATCAAACTCCTTTGCCATTTTGAGTGCCTCACATGTGGCTATATCCACATTACACTGTAGAACAGCAAGGATGATAGTCTCCTGGCGTCCAATGTATCTACGGATCATATTTTTAATCTGAAAAAAAAGATAACTGATATATTAGTACTGCAGATCATAATAAATATGTAACAAAAACTATTTAATCTTCTATTGCTGAGAAGATGTAGATCATAGTTTAAAACATACCGGGTGTATTATATATTGCGCAACTATGCTATGAACATTCTCGATTCTGATTGGTTTACCAGTGGTTTAAAATGACAATATTGCCCATCCGATACCTTTCGATGTTTAAAATAACAATTTCCAAAAATCTTTTTATCAATTTTATTTTAACAACGGTACGGAATAAATTTGGTAAAATATGGTATTACGGCAATTTGAAAGACATGATAGTGATGACGTCTTACCCTCGCTTCAATATCAAACGGCTGACCCTCGACGGCGTTCCTAGCAATACCTGGCAGGTCTATGACGGTAAGGTCAGGGACATCTGATGACGTCACTTCCAGAGTAATGAGTTCATCACTGATGCCCTTCGCACTATCTGTCATTTCTATCTGAGCTGTACGGAACATACCAATAGCACGTGTCAAGACAGCGGTCTATAGTCCTTAAGGGGCGGTCGGGTAGCCTGTTGGTTAAAGCGTTCGCTCGTCACGCCGAAGACCCGGGTTCGATTCCCGACATGGGTACAATGTGTGAAGCCCATTTCTGGTGTCCCCCGCCGTGATATTGCTGGAATATTGCTAAAAGCGGCGTAAAACCATACTCACTCACTCACTATAGTCCTTAAAAATCAGATGTTTATTTTCATTGCATAAGTAAATATATACGTAGTTAAATAGGCGCTGAGAAGTAAAAATTAATTCATTCTGTCTGAATGAATCTTATTACATTTAATCAATTTATTTAATTGTTTCACAAAATGTTGTTGAAGTAATGTTCACTCAACCCAACAAACATCGATATACTTAATTGTTTCAAACCTTTCCGCACGAGTTCTCCGACGCTCTCTCTGTTCAGAATGATTTCCTCATGGGCCATGTCATGCATGTCCTTGTACATTATCTTTCCCTCCCACATGTCCCCATCCTCTGAATGCTTCATCCGCATCTCCAACGGGCACCTTGTTACTATACCTATAAACATTTTGAATATTATCACATGTGGTTGATTACCTCGATTTTGTTTCTGTTCTCTAGGACTAAAGTTACTGGATCAATATTTGTCAAAGGCAATGTCGCGCAATCATTCCAGGTCATTAGCACACAATATTGTGTGATCAACGTTCCTTATGATGAAGACCGCCTCCGTGGTCTAGTGGTAGAGCGTCCGAGAGCGGAAGGTCAGGGGTTCGATCCCAAACCGCGTCATACCAAAAGACGTTAAAAGATGGTACTTCTTGTTACCCTGTCTGGCGCTCGGCATTAAGGGGCTAAAAGAAGGAGAGGACGCCTCGGAGTCAGTATACTGTGTCTGAGTGGGGTATTCATGTTAAACTGCGGCATAGTATCTCAGTGAGCTAGCATAATAAATCGACATCAGTCCGGCCTAGTACAAGCAGCCACACAAACACACACACGTACATGCACGTCGCTATGTAAGTGCAATAATCTTGGACACGACGTTAAACCCCTTTTCACCTCACCTCCTTATGATGAACGAATTGGTTGAAGGTTATTCTTGGAATTGGCTAGATTCAGGCATGATCAAGGGAATTGGACTTTTGAAACTGCTCAATATGATTTCTATGACTATTGACTTGTGTTTAAATATATCTGGAAGATGGCTTATAGACAGAATACCCACAAATAACTCTGTTCTCTGTACATTTGTCCAAGTTATCAACAAACAAATCTCGGTCTCAGGTAATACCTATGTACATCAACCTTCCGTACATCATATTTAGCCTTCTTAGTCTAATTGTGTTGTTTTGCATAACACCTGCCTCTGAAACACAAGGGCGGTCGGGTAGCCTAGTGATTAACGCGTTCGCTCGTCACGCCAAAGACCCGGGTTCGATTCCCGACATGGGTACAATATGTGAAGACCATTTCTGGTGTTCCCCGCCGTGATATTGCTGGAATATTGCTAAACGCAGTGTAAAACCATACTCACCCACTCTGAAACTTACCCGTTCCTCTTGGCAGTTGAACGCCAGAGATTGCTTCAAGAACAGAGCTCTTGCCGGCACTCTGGTCCCCGATGACGGCGACGGCAGGGAGGTTGATGTCACTGTCCAGACCATACCCTCGGAGTCTGTCCACCAGGTCTATCAGAGGGCGCACCTCAGCGTCGAAGGACGAAGCTAAGGCTTTAGTTCTCTCCTCTGGCGACACTATAGTCTTTAGCTCTGTGAAAAGGATGACAATTTATCAGTGAGTAATTGGGGTTAACGCCACATTATCAGTATTTTAAAGGATCATGTTTAATGGCATTGCTTCCGGATTAAACAAAAGTCTTTTGCAAATATTGACCTTGAAAGAAATAAAAACAAGCTTGTACCTTCATTGTTAACAAAGTACAATAGCTTCCGGTTTAAGCACACCATTGCTGCCAAATACGGAGACTATGCTTGTCGTAAGAGGCGACTAACGGGATTGAGTAATCAGACTCGCTGACTTGGTTGATGCATGTCATCGATCCCCATTGCTCATGATGTAAATCACTGGATTGTCTGGTCCAGACTCGATTATTTACAGACCGCCGTCATGTAGCTTGAATTTTGCTGAGTGCGGCGTTAAACAACACACAAACACAAACAAACAAACAATCATTCGGAATTGAATGGAACCGAAATGTCCTCGCGTCGGAGCCATGTTTTATAATGCGATATCAGGTGAGCTTTGCTAGTAGTATAGGTAATGGGGGTTCTGGCTCACTTTCACTGGAGCAGGATTTATATACCTATACCACCACTACAGATGGAATTTTTTATGCCAAAATGATCATGCGATTTAACGATAGTCATAAGATTCAGCTAAATTAACCACCACCTGGAGCCAATGATATAAATTTTTATAGGTAATGGGGGTTCTGGCTCACTTCCACTGGAGCCGGATTCATATACCTATACTGCTACTACAGGAGGAATTTTTTATGCCAAAATGACTATGCGATTTAACGATAGTCATGAGTTGTATTAAACGAAACATCAATATTAATTAATAATGGATAAAATTTACTATAGCCCACGAGGATATTGGAAAGGTGTAGGAGCAATAAAAAAATTAGCCACTGCGGCTAAGGTATCTAAAGATGTGGCCAAGGATTGGTTAAAGAAACAAGCGATGTGGCAGATATATTTACCGGCACCGCGTTATATACCGAGGAAGAAGTTTGATATTTTTACGACGAATGAAGTTCATCAGGCTGACCTCTTGTTTCTTCCCCACGATAAGGTAAAACGCAAAACGTATAAATACGCTTTAACAGTAGTGGATGTGGCTAGTCGATACAAAGAGGCTGAGCCATTAACATCGAAAAAATCAACAGAGGTAGCTAATGCACTGAGTCGCATATATAAACGCGGACCGCTAAAATGGCCTAAGCTATTTCAAGTAGATCCCGGTCGCGAGTTTATGGGATCGGTAACTAAACTGTTAACAAAGAACGATGTTGAAATCGTCCGCGGAGAAAGAGAGGCCCACCGCAGTCAAGCTATCGTCGAAAGATTTAACCGGACATTAGCGGAACGTTTGTTTGGCTATCAGTATGAGATCGAAATGAAATCCGAGCGATTGAGATCAACCGAATGGGTGACACGATTATCAGCCGTTGTATCAGCGCTGAATAATGAAGTAACGAGATTAATAGGGAAGAAACCATCCGATGCTATTAAAATGAAATCCGTGACTTCCGAATCTTCAGCACCGAGGAGAGGCAAAGAACGAAAACTTCCGGAAAGAGTAAGGGTAAGATATTTATACCAGGCAGGTGAACTCGAGGGAGGCCTACGTCGTGCAACCGATCCCATATGGTCCCTTAAGACGTATAACATTAGTCGATTGGTTACGAGAGAAGGAGAGCCTGTTCTTTATTACCTTCAAGATGGACCGGGTAGGGCATTTGTACGAGAAGAGTTGTTCATAGTTCCCGACGGTACGGTATTACCACCATAACCATAAGCATAGGTAGTTACACCATCATTATCAATCCATCTCTTTGTATCTAAGGGGGATAATGATGTCTTGTTCATTCTTAATCCATATATCCTATGATTGTAACTTCTTAAGAGTTCATCTCGTGTTTGAACGTTCTACCGTTGAATAATGATTCTTTATACTGTTCGTGTTGATATGCTGTTTTACAACATACTTCTTAACACCCTTAGCTTTTCTTATCTCTCCATTATCAGACTTCTTTATAGAATACATCTTAGGTCTTAGGGGTCCCAGCACATTCATCCTTCATCTTACCTAACACCTTTTTATTTACAACGCTGTGCAGTGGATTATCTTTAGGATAATCGCTCGTGTCGTACATATCTAATTTTTCTGCCATATCTTTATACACATCCTCGGTTTGTATTTCCATCAACAAAGAATCTGTATCGGTATATAACACCTCGCATCTATCGCCGTATTGCTTCTTAAGTTCGTTGTAATAAAAGTCATACATTAAGTGTTTTGACAAGTCGAGAATACTCATACCGACGTACACCGGTCTGTTGAATTTTATATTACTCTTCTGCATATGCAACGCGGCTAAGTCGTTATCGAATATCTTGCTTCTGTTATAAGCCGGACTGGCTATAAGTTTCCTGAGTCTTTCTTCCTCATTAGATCTGACTAATTTAACATCAACACGCTTCCTTAGATTCTCCATAGTTTTACCAAATACTGAGTTATTCATGAGCTTATACAGATTCTTTTCGAAATCGCTGGTAGCTATCTTTCTTAAATCTGTGTTCAACCTTATATAGGGCTCCATCCAAGGGCTTTGATCAAACTTTAGAACTCTGTGTATTTTCTTAAGTTTCATACCTAACGATAGATACAACTGGAGATTTCTGTAGTGAACTATATATTTTGTCTTATCCATCACATTTGGTACGAGTTTTTCTACGTTAGCTAACCTACTATTTCCCATCAATGAGCGTTGATATTCCGACATCCAATCTTTATTAACCATTAATCTTTCGGGAGCTAGCGGATAACTGTTATGTTCTTTATGTAACGAACTTGGATATTCCAAGTCAACTTCTAGTATGTACCCTTTATTCTCTTCGATATCATTCACATTAATATTATGAATATCATTGACCCATTCAAAACCACCCATGGGTAAAGGTTGACTCATAGCCCATCCGTACAAATTGTTAGCGTCGAGATATAATATATGCGTGTCGGGTTTACTCGGATCGTATCCTTCCACTAATTTATTATTAGCCTTAGAATACCTTTTCGCTGCCATCGATATACCACCTCTTAATCCTTTCTCAATAAACAAGTGCATATCGTAATCTGTGAGTAATTTTAGTTCTACGCCGGTCTTCTTCAACAATGCATCCCACGATAGTCCGGGACTGGAATAGTACCATGCCGGGACCAAGCCGTATTGTTTTAAACACGTCTTTCTAAATATCTCGAATATATCGGCGAGTAACAGTACATCGGTTTTTAAGTACAGATCGTGATAATCGCCTAAATTCTTACAACCTAATTTATCCCAGACCGTCAGAGCGTGTTCATAATCGGCATCTGTTATTCTAGATTCTGTTAAGTTACTATAGAATGATTCGAGGGGTGGTAAATCAGTTTCTTCGAATCTAGACCAATCATCCATATATTCGTAAGGATATACACCTTTTCTCAGCAACAAATGACGAGTTATCTTATCGGTATATTTATTTGTTATCGCGAAGTCATCGGGATTGTTCGCATTAGCTAAATTGTCCAGGGAAGATAACAGAAACTGTACGGAGTCTATGAATCTAAGCCCATTACTTTGCTTTGTTCTAGATTTGCAATCCTTGTCCCTATAATGTATAGGTTTAGTCAACGAGAACGATATGTATTTTTCCATATTGTTAGGAATGCACGTTAAACCGCCGTCGGTCTTTGAGATAGCTTGCATAATGAGATGTGAATCGTATCCCCTAAGGTTATGAAACACAACGGGGATGGGTATTGTTTGAGAATTCATTTTTAGTTTCAAGTTACACTCGTTATGAGCGGCTCCCCGATAATTACCCGTGACGTGACAATGATCTCTTATGGAATCCCCATCCAGGGGTTTATTACAAACGTGACAACTCGTTGACTTCTTATGAGCCCACCAATCATCCCTCGTCATACGCATGGGTTTCTTACACGATAATTTTTCCCTTATTATTCTAGGAACTTTCCCGCTGCATCGGGACCTCTGTAAATCATGGGAGTGTTTGTTTTCCCATCATACCTTACAACTATATATCCAAACCCACAAGGAATATGTTCTTGAGTTTTGTACGTAAAACTACTATCTTGATTATTATGGTCTGTATTTTCTATGGGTTTGATAAGCGCTTCGAAGTCGGCGTAAATTACGTACGGTACTGGCATTTGATTACAATAATGTTCAAATTTTAATATATTTTTTCCCTCTTTAGGCATATCGATCCTGATAGCATTCTGTTCAACACCTCTACAGTCTTCTTTATGCGCTTCTAATAGATCTTGTCTGCTGTACCCATGTAGGCATCTTTCACAGAAATATTTCTTTTCTTTATGTTTTGTTTGATCGTATAATAGCCTGTTTAAACTCTTTATCCACGTATAATTATATTTACCATCTTTTTCGATCAGAAATGAATTGATTCTGGGAATATTTTCCGGAGCGGAGCTTATCCTGTGTACAACAATTCCTTTAGAAGAATGTCCGAAAACATTTATAGCTAAATTATTTTGCTTTTCCACCTTATCAATTTGTGATATTGGTGTAGGTTCGTCTATACCATCGAAGTTGAGTCCATCGTTTTGGGGATAGCTAGAAGGTCTATCCGGATTTTTGTCAACGGGGAACAATGCAGATCTTATCATCATTCTTAAACAGTCATCGGATTTATTTTTTACGTTAATTATGCCTTTTTTCTTCTTATAATACAGGGGTAAATCTATATAAGATCCACCTTTGAAAGGCATATAATTTGCTATATCTAAATATAAACTATCGATTTTATCCACACCCCAACCCGAACCTCTATTAGTCCAGCGTTCTAAAGTTTCCTGTATTCTCTGAATTGATGTATCTAATGATGAGTTTATAGTATCGGATTCGGTTATAACTTCTTGATTGCTTCGGAAATATGGTTCGGTATATTCGGTGCTATCGTCTGTGTTACTTTTACTCAATGTCATTTTAATCGTCAGC